CAACATTAACCCATATGTCCGACACCAATCCACAAAGTCCTCCTCCATCTCACAAAACAGACGCAATGATGCCGACTGCAGGAGGAAAGGCCAAGTCAGTGAACGTGTAAGCTTCTCAGCACTGGCAGGGGTCTCCACACAGCTGCTCCAGCACCCAGGGCTGCATCTGGGTAGGTCCATGTGGCTTCTCCTCAGGAATGTCTTGCAGGAAGTGAGCATTTCCAGCTAAAACAGGGAACTGGCTAAGGCAGCTACACCCTGGTCCGACCATAAGAAAGCAAGAGACCCGAGAACTCCAAAGCTGCGGCTCACCAAGCCATTTATCCCTTCGCCCTTCAATTAACCCCACGTGTGTTTATCGCCCAGGTTGGCACAATAAACTAACTACCTCAGGGGTCAGTGAAGTGTCAACAGAGTTATCTAGGCAGATTCAGTTACACCCTTCCTTCATTTTTGCTCCTTTTAAACAATTTTATTGACACTTCATTCACATGTTATACAATTCTATAAATCAATTTTATGAAGAAGAGCTGTAAAATCATTAGCACAATCAATTTTAGAACATTTTCTTCTTCCTTGTACTTGGTATTCATGTAAATTTTTAAAATGGTGACAAAAATATATACAAAACCTTCTCAAATTCAACAACTTCTACATATATAATTCAGTACCATTGATTATGCTCTTGTGTTGTATAACTATTATCGATATCCTTTTCCAAAATATGACACCATCATTAACATAAGCTCAATGTCCCTCAGACAAGAACTCTTCCTACACCCTTCCTTCTGCCACAAAACCTGCTCCACTCCTTAATCACACGCACGTGTCTCTAGGTTGCTGACTTAATTCAAAGGGTCAAGAAGGGCTGCCTAGCCCCACATTTAATCCTTAAATATTGGTAACATGTAATACTAAGATGACCAAAAGAAAAACTCAATTGATCACTTATTTAGTCTCCTTAAGACACTCTCTCAAAGAGCCTGAATATGTGGCCCTTATTAGTATTATAATATTTAGCATTGCTTTACATAGGCTCTTAGCAATTCCCTAAATAGAAATTTCTGTGAAGCCATGGGGAGTTCATCTTTTAAGCCTTGTTATCTACATATGATGAGTTCTGGAGCCCACCTCTAGGTAGAAGAGATGGTGGAGGTGGAGGGAAAAGTTGTGAAACACAGGACATTGAGCTTCTCTGGACAGCAGGCCTGGAGAGCGCGGGGTAGGATTCTCAAGCCCATTCATAGTTCTCTTCCTCCCTGCCTTTCAATGAGAGGCACAGGCACCCAGAAGCTAGATGCAAATGAGCATTTCCCTGTCTTTGAACCAAATCCACCAGCTTAAGAAAATTGAGACTTAGTATTCACAGAGACACTGATGCCTTCTTGTGGTTTGACCATCCCAGTGAAGCTGCTACCTCATAACCTGACAGCATTTTTAGTTATAGTAATGCCTTCTATCATTATAGGAAGACAAACGTCTTCGTCTCACCACTGTGGTTAAAAAACAAAACCAAAACACCCCGCTTTTTGAAAAGAATAGACTTACATCGCTGAGGACGTTTCCTGCTGCCTTCAGCTGCTTGAGCAGTGGGTGCTCTGTGGCAGGAAGGACATTGTAGTCTGCTTTTCCTTTGTTCTTTTCGTAGTCTTCTTTGTACTTTACCTGTGGGAGTGAAATCAAACGATAAAGTGGCTCGCTGGGTTATTCTCTGCCCTCATCTCTCTCTCTCTCACTCTCTTTTAAAATCATTTTATTGGAGGCTCTTACTCATCACAATCCATCCATCCATCCATTGTGTCCTGTACATTTGTACATTTATTGCCATCATCATTCCCAAAACATCTTCTTTCCACTTGAGCCCATGGTATCAGCTCCTCTTTTTCCCCTCCCTACCCAACCCTTCTACCCTCATGAACCCTTGATAAATTATAAATTATTTTCATATCTGACATTGACCCCTGTCTCGCTTCACCAGTTTCTGTTGTTTATCCCCCGGGGGAGCGGGGCAGGGAGTGTTATACATTGATCATTGTAATTGGTTCCCCTTTCTCCCCTTCTCCCCGACCTTTCCCCTACTCATGGTATAGCCCCTCCCATTATTGTTCCTGAGGGGTTTATCTGTCCTGGATTCCGTGTGTCTAGAGCTCTAATCTATACCAGTGTACATGCTCCTGTGTAGCTGGATTTGTAAGGTAGAACTGGGCTCATGATAGTGTGGGGGGAGGGGAAGCATTAAAGAACTAGAAAAATGGTGTGTGTTTCATAGGTCTATACTGCACCCTGTCTGGCTCATCAACTTCCTTGTGACCCTTAGGTTGGATACATTACATTTCACTTAAACTTACACTTAAACAACTTATCAAACTTCCCAGTAGTTTGCCCTGCTCCTCCTCTGACTTTTGTTCTCCCTCTTGTGGAATACTATCTTCCCTTCACCCAAGTTACCACATGTATACCCTCTAGCCTATTGCTGCAGCTTCACTAATCCCACCCCAAACCTGGTAACTCAATGTCTTTCCTGTCATGCAGTGTGAGTGTGTCTGTGTATGCATACATGAATATTTAATACACAGTCTGGAGGAGGTGGGAACTAGAGGTGAAATGCACAACGATCTCATTTTTTTTCACTTGTCTCTCCCACCTTTAGTTTCAGCTATGGCACACGCAGTAAATACATCCAAAAGTTCCAACCAGGAGTGTGTCCACAATAGACAGAATAAGAAATTGATGTTGGTTTTGACCATTATCTCCAGTGTAAGTCATTGATTCAAGAAATCTAACCCTAGAATACAGACAAGTTCAAGGAATTCTAGCTTATTTACCAATATTTAAGAACCCCAGTGTGACAGTTAGGTTTATTATACCAACTAGGCCAATAGGAACATGTGAGGAGAGTTTAATCAGGTTGCAGCTTGATTGAAGACAACGGAAATAAATAAAGACAGTTGGCATCCTATCTCCCTCTTGTTCCCTGGTGATCAGACCAGTGTGCTGCTTTAGTGAGTTCTCTGCCTCAACCTGTGTGCTACACTACCTGTGGGCCAAGCCAGCCCATGGATTGTGTAACTGGAGCTTGAGGCTCTTCTGAGACCTGCTTTGCTTTGCTGCTGGTGTGTACATTGCTTGAGCTTGAGGTTAGTGGGTCCCGTAGCTGGGCTTGAGTTTGAGATCACATTGGGGCTTGTTTCACTAAGCTCCCAAGCTACTGACTGTTGCTGACCCACCCTGCTCTGTCTGCTGGCTACCTGAGGGAAGACTCTGCTGCCTGTTTCCTTGACCTTGGACCCAGCAGCCCATTTGAATTGAAGGACTTCCAGTACATTAACTTTTCCACAAAAGTGAGTTCAACTGAGCCCTCTGTACTGCTGTATGGACTGATTCACTGTTATGTTCCTTCTAGCTGTATAAACCTATCCTCTTACATAAGAGTCCTGACTTTGTTTCTCTACAGAACCCTGCCTAACACACCCAGGAAATGAAGCCAAGAAGCTTCATATCCAAAGACAGGAGATACAAAACTGAAACAGATACACCATCACTGTAGCCTGCAGCAAGGGCTCAAGTGACACTCTAGATCAGAAGACCTAGATCACCTGTAGGCCATATGTAATCACATATTTCCTTGAAACATAGAAATAATCTGAAAAGAAATTCTGCCAACCCAGCTTTCTCTCAACCTGCATCCAGGTCTCTAACTTTTCTCCTTTTGCATGGATCAATGGTCAGGATTGTGGTAAAGCCAACCGCTTCCCTTCAGCACCAGATCTTGTCCTTTTTTCAACATTACATGACTCTAGCCATTCTTCTTCATCCTACACCATCAATTCCATCAATAGTGGGTCTTCCCCCATTAAGAGAGAAGCATGGTGCTTTGTTTTCTATCGTTAAAAATCTCCTATTTACACATCTATCCATCAGCTACTGCCCCGTGTTCTTCTTGCTTTTAAAGAATGCTTAAAAGAATTGAATGCACTCACAGCCTTTAGTTTCACTCTTGAATGCTCTCCAGTCAGACTTCAGCATTCATGACCCCAACAAATCTTGTCTAGGTTACAAGAACGCTCACTTCTCTGTTCATTTCTTCCCCAAATACCCCTCTTTCATGATTTGCTCCTACCTGATGTCTTCGCATGGTAACATGGCAGGGTTCAATAGTCGGAATTTTCTATCTATGCTCACTCCTTTGACAGTCTTTCGTCTCATTACATTAATTACCATTCACATGTTGAGGACTCTCAAATTTATATAGTTTTTTCAGCTATATTCCTTGAAGACTTCAAACCCAAGTAATCAATCTGGCATTTCCACTTGGATATCAACAACCAAAACCAAACCAAACTCACTGCCATCAAATTGATTCTGACTCATAGAGAATATATAGGACAGAAAAGTTTACAAGGATATTAATCCTTATCTATAAGATACTTTATATATAATTAGGAGGTTGTTATTGGCCACAAATGGCAACAAGGTAAATATATATATGTTCTTCCAATACGTAAGGTCCATGGCCCTCAACGTTGGCAATATACTCAAACTCACATAGTTTTTCATGATGCACAAGGGCTATGTGGTAGTTACATAATCTGGTGTCAATTTGGGACTTGAGAGGATTAAGAGTGAAGGGATGGAGTCTAGTCTGTCATTCGGGTCATAGCCAATGAGGCCTCTGTGGGCATGGCCATCTCCTGAGGATCCTGGACACTCCTGGATTTCCTCCTTGGAGGTGGGAGACACTTTTGCTCTGCTCACTCCCTGAGAGACTCTCTATTGACAAGACACTTGGCACTACGCTAATAGACCCCATGCCCTAGGAATTGGTGGAGTCATGTGGAGACCACTGCCAATGCAGAGATGCTTCTACCGCCGCTGCCACTGGATCCACATGACTTTGCACCCACTGGCCTGTGATCTTCCTGCATTTGGTATCATTGCATGTGTTTCATGAGTCTGAAGGGGACTTTTTAGATTGGTATCGGACATATGGGCTAATATCGGACTTATGGACTTGATCTGGACTGGGCTTGGATGTTTCCTCAATATTCAACTGCTCTTGTATATAAAACTCTTTCTTATACACATATGAGAGTCTCCCTGGATTTGTTTCTCTAGTTTACCCAGACTAACACAGGCTATAAGAAATTCACTCACTCAAAACCCACCAAGATCAAAGGAACATCATCCCCATACCTTGCTGGCAGTTATCCCGGCTTGTTTATTCACTTTGTACTCTGGAGTTTCAGTCTGCATGAAGTAGATCTGGTCTTTCAGGTTCTCAAAGTCTTCCTGGTATTTCCTCTGTAAGACATGAAATACACTGGAGAACTGCTGGGGGAACAAACTGCCCAATGGTTTGACGTGGGAGGACATCAAGCATTTAGAGAAGTTCAAAGCCATTGTCCCTTGACTGAAGCAGGTCAGGTTGTGAACAGAGAATATGGTGCCATCACATAAGCCATTGGCCACTCAACAGAGATTTGGAATAATTAGGATAATTAGCAAATAATATAAAATAGGCTGGAGGATAACAAGAAAGAGTTTCTGAAGGCCAAAAGCAGAGAACCAGAGATCCAAACAGGAGAGAAATGTCGTATTCTTTCCAGTGAGGAGAGCTTAGGAAGAGGCCAAGGGCAGGCCAAGGGTCCACAACCATCCTTTCCTACTTACTGAGCTCATGTTGTTGGCATTCATTCTGGCAGTTGCAATTTCAAAGCAAGGTGTCTCACTCCATTTGCCTTTAATTTTATTTTCATAGTCTTCCTTGTATTTTTGCTGGGGGAGGTGGGGGAAGAAAAGCAGCAAAACTCAGGAATCACAAACAAGTCAGCTTTGTGAACAGCACTGTTATCGCTGCTGTTAGGTGTATTTGAGTAGCTTGTTTTGGTCAAAGCAACCCCGTGTGACAGAACCGACTCCTTCCCAGGGTTGTCTGCACTGTAGTATTTCTAAGACCAGGGCACTAGGTCTTTCTTTCCAGAACCAGCCTGAACTAGCAGCCCTTCAGTTAGCAACTGGGTGCTTATTCACTGCACACCTGGAGCTCCTTCTAAGTAATTCATAACAAACCCAATGTCATCCAGCAGATTCCAACTTCTCTGACTTGACCTGATAGGTCAGAGTAGAACAGAGCCAGAGGGTTTATGAGACTCTAAATCTTTCCAGGCCCAGAGAGCCTCACATTTCTACCTCAGAAAGGCTATTGGGGTTGAACCTCTGCACTTGCAGTTAGCAATCCAACACCTAATCCATCAGTGTTCTTTAAGTTTGTGATACATGTCCTCCAATCTTCCAGGCAGTGTCAATTTACACAATAAGAGAACTGGATATGGGAAGCTGGAGGAAAGGGGCGGGGCGTGGGGTGGGGGGGTACTAAAGCTCCCTTCCATCGTTGGCTTTAGAAACAGTTCTTTCACAACTCAAGGATGTTGCCTGGTGTTTAAGGAAAGGAACAGCTGAAAATAAGGCAAGATCTTTATATCAGAGTTATTAAAAAATCTATGAACCTCATATTTACCTAAGAACTGGACTGGACCATTAATATTTAACCTTTCCTAAAGCTCCTAATTCTTCAGAAAACCACCACCGTAACAGAATTTGGCCTGCAGGCTGATGAATAAGACCTCAGTTTAGACCTGGAGAAATTTTCCAAAGAACTGGAAATTAATTCAAATTTGAACTATTGTCCTCCATTTCACCCCAACCCTCTCCCATCCAGTTCCCAGGCTTTGAGCTCCTTGAAGACAGATATTATGATGTATTCCTTTTGTTCCTCCAGAACTTAATGTAAAACACAGCACACAGAGGGAACCTCACATTTCTTCAACTGCCTTAAATGGAACAGCTTGTGAACTACTTTGGTCTAAGCTTTCTTGGGGGAAAAGTAACATAGCCATCCCTTAGTCTAGACCCAGGAGCCAGAGCCAGAGCCAGAGCCAGAGTTGAGTTAGAACCATTTCCCCTCTTCAGCTCATAGAAATGTGCTAACAGACATAAAAAACCAAAGGACCTCAAGGGCTTGCCCACATCCTCACCTTACCCTTCAAGGAGAAAAGAAGTGGCATGTATGCCTTTCCCAAAATAGATACAATGAATAAGGGAGACTATAGAAGTGATGCCTTTGAATTATAGTGTGGGTGAAGAACATTAAAAATACCATGGACTTCTAGAAGAACAAATAGAAATGTCATGGGAGAAGTACAACAGGAATCCTCCTTCGAAGCGAAGATGACCAGACTTCTTCTCTCAGACTTTGGACATGTTCTCAGGTGAGATCAGCCCGTGGAGAAGGACATCGTGCTTGGTAAAGCGTAGAGGGGCAGTGAAAAAGAGGAAGATGCTGGACAAGACAGATTGACACAGTGGCTGTAACAGTGGGCTCTCAGCCAGCAATGCCTGTGAGGATGGTGCGGGGCCGGCAGTGTTTTGATCTGTTGTGGTGAGGGTCATGAGGAGTCACAGCCAACTTGACAGTACGTAATACCAACACCATCAAACCAAACCCATTTCGGTCAAGCCAATTCTGATTCACCGTGGCCCTATTGGATAGGATAGAGCTACTCCTTAGGGTTTTGCCAGTCATTGTATTTACTGGATCGGACAACTTCATCTTTCTCCTGTAGAGCAGCCGGTGGGTTTGGAGTGCCAATTAGCTGCCCATCACCTAACCCATTCCTGCTTGGGAGTAATAAGCCTCTGATTACATGATAAATCTATACAATGGCATAAGCACAGCTTCAGAGGACCTTGATGTACATGAACCTCAGGTTAAGAGATCTTATTCTGTAATATTTCGGTGTTTTATTTATAAGTAGAACACATACTTTGGGATACTGCCTTCCCCCTGCATTCTATCCTCAAAGGAGGAAAATTCTTAAATTAGGTAAGGACAGTTGAGTCTGACACATCCCAAGATTGAGATACAGAGAGCTTAGCATATGGCTAAAGTTGAAAAGGCACCAAATGTTCTGAATGGGGTCCAAAAGTTGAGCTATTTAAGGAAATAGGGATCACACATGTATATTTGCTAAGGAAATTTGAGTAGAAGATTAATTCTCACAGTGAGAGATAGATGTGTGATTTTTAAAAAGACATGACGGCAAGAAGCAGAAGGAATATAAGACCATCCAATCCCATGCTCCGAAGTTCTTCCTCCTTTCTTAGCCCCCACGCACCGGGGCGTGGTATTTCCTCACGCCCAGCGGTCCTGATGCACCAGGGTAAGGCTGGCTCTCTCAAAGCCCACTTCCGAGCTCCCCCAGTCTGGGAGGATTTTCACTACACAGGAGGAAGCTGCTGAGTCATTCAGAAGAGCACTTTTATCTTCAGAGAGGGGAGCGGTCGGAAGGACAAAGATCCACGAGATGGAATGAGAAGGAGTGAGAGACAGATGTCCAGAGCGACCCTCTGCCAGCCCAGAAATCACTCTGAGTGCCTGGGAAGTGAGGCTTGGGTTTTTAATGTGTTGCATGTGCCTAACCCAGCGCCCCGCCCCCGCCTCCAGCCCACCTGCTTCATAGTTATTGCCCCACTTAGAATCTTATCAGTGGGAACCTGGGGGAAAGCATGACTTTAACGTTCTCTGGGGTTTTGCGCTTGACTGTGCATTTAGCAGAGAAAATCACACCAGATCAATGGCGAGCAAGCACTAGGACACCTTCCCTAAGCAAGAAGGTGGCAGCCTGTTGATAGGTGTAGGAAGATTACTTTCCTGAACCCTAGTCCCTTCTCTCCAGAAAGCAGACAGGAGTTTGTCCATTGCACCACAAATTAGGAACCACAGTGCCCCGCTGAGACACAGGACTCCATGTATTACTGTTCCCATGCACATCTGTGGTTTTGATGTAGTCATCACACGGAAAGAAATCCAACCCCAGTTAGGGAATCACATTTCTCTTCGTCTGCAAGTAGCTAAATACTGGAGCTCCTGATGACTCTGTTCAGAGTGCAGTTATCTTCTACGGAGGTGATGGATGGGGTCCCAACTGCTATTTTCATTAGACACAGTAGGTCTAGGACTATAGTCTTCACTCGATCAAATCCTTTATTGGGGAAAGCAAGGGGGATTTTCCTACTTTTCCTTCATAGGGGAATTTCCAAGGTAGCCTCATTGCAGAGCATGTTCTCTGCAGGCTGTGTAACAAGCTGCCACTGAGGATTTTTTTTAAAGTTACCATTCTAATTCCTAGATGAATATAAACCGATAGTTCCAGCTGAAATCTATTTTTCCTGCCTGTGGCCTGTGAAACTGAATGGGAACACAGAGGCCGTGACAAAGGACCGTCCCAGTGTTGCATTCAGAACCACACTTTCTGGGGTGGTTAGTGTTCCTCGTTTCCTCACCTTGAGCTTGTCAGCCTACTCATCTATGCTAGATTTAGAAAGTAGGACTGAGCCGGGAGGAAGTGCTTCCAGGTAGCTGATAGCTTGTCAGAGACAAAGGTGAGAGCATTCATTTGAAGATTAGAGTAAGGAAGGTTGGTAAACAGAATGTAACAGTCATATAATCATCACAGAAAAATTACTATTACCATTTGAACTGAAGGCCACAAGACCAAGGGATGGATCTTAGAGACATGATTTGAAAAGGAAATGCTAAAAATGTAAGTGCTCGAGAGAGAGTAGATACAAGTGAGTTGACCCATGTTGAAAGAAAGCTAATCCTGGACCATGGGTCCAAGAAACTCTATAGTGGGCAGGATGTAGGAGAGAGAGAAGAGCCCCACAGAGAAGCCATCTCTTGCAGCCCTGCACGTGTTCTCCCAAATTATGTGCGGGAATCCCGTAGACATACTTGGTCATTCTCTGTGGAAATAGGGTTTTCCCTGTGAAGTTAATATAAGCATAGGTTATGTCCCAAACCCAACCACTTCTGAGTGATAAGAGGCAGGAAAGACAACGGCAAGAACCACCAGTGGTGGGACTGGAGGGATAGATTCCCCCTGAAGATTTCCAAGGAATGGAGGACCACCTGGGACACAGCTGTTGGCATCTGGATCTTTGCCCAGAACAGACCGAAAGAATGTCTTCCTCCACAGTGAATGCAGATGTTTATTCTTCGAAGCAGTGAGAAACTACATTTCGGTTCTTGGATGCCTTTGCAGGGTTTCTGTTTCAGCAGCACTGGGGAACTAAGGCAGACAGATGGCTGGTTGTTGGGACGCCACAACACCTGGCTTTCTGTCTCACCTGGCTTGTTCTGGATGCGTAGCAGAAGTTAAGAAGCTAGAAACTTGGGTAAGCCTCGGATGGCTAATGCCACAGATCTGGTGACCTTCATTCAGAGTCACCCTCCCTGGGCTCATGCTAGTGTGACATACCCACCTCTGGTCATGCTTTCAAAGTACCCAACACTGTCACCTGCTCCAACTAGAGTTGTACCTATCATGTCAACAACAGACATATAATGCAAGTCGAATGTGTAATTTTAAACTCTCCAGTAGTCGTATTTTAAAAATGAAAAAGGTGGGCAATACATCTGAATACATTTAACATGCCCTGATAGATCAAAATATTACTATTTCAACATGCAAAATTTTAAAAAAGGAGTTAGGAAAATATCTCATAAAGTGTCCAAAATCCATCGTGTCTTTCACACATACAGGTGACTCAAATTGCACTTGTTGCATTTTAAGAACTCAATATCCACAGGTGGCTAATGGCTACTGTATTAAAAAATACAGACCTAAACTTCCTGGCAAGCCTGAATTGGTGGAGAAGCTGATTATGGAGGCGTTTGAATGTAATCTTTCTCTTATTTTCAAATGCTCAACTGTGCAGTCAAGGAAGGTACAAAGAATGCTACCTTGGTAAGATACCTTTTCAAATGTTTGTTAAGTAAAGATCTTAAATAGAGCCCTTCTCACTTCTCACCAACAAACTTGAAAGAGCTCCTTTCCTTTTCAAAACGATCAATCGCTTTTGAATATCAACGTATTTAGAATATCAACATTTTTAATAGGCTCTCTTTTGTGTGCATTTCTGAAGTTAACTTCTGCTTAGCTAGCGTTGGGCAAAATTCTAATGAATTTCAGCTTCCTGGCATTCCCGTGATGTCCCTGAGGGGATGCAAATGGTTTATGTTCAACTGCTAACTGAAATGTTGGTAGTTCAAACCCATGAGCGGCACCAAAGGAGAAAGTTCTGGCAATCTGCTACCATGAAGGTTACCGTCTAGAATCCCTTATGAAGTTCAGTTCCGCTCTGTGACACATGAGCGTGACTGTGAGTCAGAATCAGCTCAGTGGCAGTGGGTTTGGTTTTGGGCTTGACATCGCCTGCAGTTAGACAACCTAGTACTTACTAGATCTTCTATCCAAACAGCTCCTGGTTATACAGTTAGGCTAATCGTGAAGATCAGATATTTTCAAACAATTCTCTTGCTAGACTTCATCATCCACAACTTTCCTTCTTTCTCCTTTACTAAAGGGAACACTTTGCCCTCCCCAACCCCAACTCCCTAAATGTTTAAACAAGACTGAAATCTTGAGATTAAATCAACTAGCAGGAGACTGAAGAAAGCCCTTCAACTCAGCAGTATCCCAGGAGATGGTGGCCCGCTTTGGACGGACTTAAGACAGGAGCTTAGTCTGGCTATGCATCAGCAGAACATCTGTCTCTCTGCATTCCCTGCCAGGGCTGCAATCCTCAGGGCTAGTTTACCAAGCTAAATATAGGCAGACTAAGCTGGGTGCCAGGCCTTCCAAATTCAGAAGTGCCCTGCTATCAACTGAGCTATGCTGGACAGCCCACTCATGCATTCTTGCTCCAAAGCAGACTGGGACCCTAAACCCACGGGGGTGCTTCACACAGAGGTGAAACAATACGATCCTCTGTGGACTTGTGCGGTTACTTGGTTACTCAGTTCGTGTGCATTCATTGCACCACCCAAGAGGAACATCAAGGGACATTAGGACATGGGGTCCAGTGGCTGTTACATTTATCCATCACAGAGCTACCAAGCTGGCCAAAGATATATTCGTACAGTTCTAGGGCAATGAATAGGGTCCTTGAATAGATACACTCAAATTGTCAAGAGAGATGCAAAAATACTCTTAATGTCTCAGATTCCCTCTTGAGGTTCATCTTTAGCGACTTCCTCTATTCACTGAGATTATTCATCAGAGTTTTCAAGAGTCGGAATCCCGGCCCCTGTGACTTACCTTGCTCACTTGATTGGTCACTTTCTTGGCAAATTCTATATCTGGTGGATCTGCCAGAGACGTGAATTGAGTTTGCTGCTCAACGTGGCCTTTTTTGTAGGCAATCTAGCAAAAGACAAGACAAGGGTGCTGCTGAGCCACAGAAGAAGGATTCTAGTTCACATGGTGCCATTTGTTTGAAAGACAATGCTTTCAACGTGGTTTTTGTTGTCGTGAATCCTATAAAATTGCCTGATTATAATTTATTCTTCTAGATAGCATATGCACTAACTCTCAGTACGACTCCAACACCAAAACACCAAACCCACCACTCTAGAGTCGATTGAGACTCATAACGACCCTAGACAGGGTTTTTGAGGCTGTAAATCTTTAGGAGCTGACAGCCTCCTCTTTCCCCCGGGGAGCTCCTGGTGGGATCGAACCCCCGACCTTGTGATTAATGGTTCAAAGTTTACCCGACAGCACCAGCAATATTGGTGCTGTGACTGTTGTTAGGTGCCATTGAGTCGGTTCCGACCCATGTGCATAGCGACCCTGTGCACAACAGAAGGAAGCACTGCGTGGTCCACCATCCTCACACTTTTTTCTATGCCTGAGCCCATTGTTGCAGCCACAGCATCAGTTCATCTCCTTGAAGGCCTTCCTCTTTTTCGCTGCCCCTCCACATTACCCAGCATGATGTCTTTCTCCAGGGACTGGTCTCTCCTGACCATATGCCCAAAGAATTGCTCGTGATTTCTATTTTCTTAAATCTTCCTGCTTCTCTAAGATGCTTAGCCCCGCCCCGGTGTTTCCTCCCACCTGGGCATTCTGGCCATGATGGTGGCCCACTCATTCTCTTATCCAGCTGCTTGTACTGCATCTCACTCACTCAGCCACCCCCGTTCTGGATCAGCTCGACCACATAGTCTTGACAGCCAGGCTTCTGAGTGCTACTAATGAACACCACACGCATCTCTGCATTGAATCACTATGGGGTTTGGGTATCCAGTTGGCACGTTGCTGTAAATGAAGCTTGAAAAGCCCATTAGGTGTCTCTGGTCAGCACCCACTCCCAGCACTAGCCTAAAACCCCAACGCTGTCCTCAGCCCCCAATCAGCTCCGCACTACTCCCCATTTCCTCTTCTATAAAGTAGATGAGCTCATCTGTCTCCATACTCATTCCTGCCACGCCCACTCTGCCCCTTCTTCTTAAAGGAGAAGCACCCTCCATGATGCTTTCAGAAGAGTCTAAAGATGATTGATTCCTGCTTAGCCCAGGCTGCATTTGAAAATGTCCAGGTTTGTGGCACTCCTATTATTGACATGAGGCACTCCTGATCCCTGCCCCGTCCCCTTTTATGCCTAGCTCGAGCCGTCATTTCTCCTCCTTATGGTTTCAAACTCCCCTTCTCCATCACCTCCTTTCCTTCAGCTTACAGAGGCCTCTCCCACCTTCAAGGAAGCATCGCACGAATTAGTCATGCGCAGCCTTACGCTTGCTCTGCTTTCTTCTCTTCACTTCTTAGTGCCACCAATTGTTGGACCACTTCCTCCTAGTAAAGCAGAACTTCCCATAGATTCCAGTCACGGGAGACCCTCTCATGCCTCTGGACCTCAAAAGCGGTGTTCCCATTCCCTGGTATGCCCCAACCCCCCGGTTTTCTCTTTCTGTCTGCACATTGCCACCCATCCTCCCCACTCAGCCCAAGGAGGGTTTGCTTGCATCGCCCTCCCTGACCCGCGGCTGACTTGATGACTTTCTCTTGGGCTCTCACTGCACCTGGCCCTTGGCTCCCTGAACAGAATTAGCGGATAACACAGGAACCTGTGGGTCCCAGGTCTGTCCCTCAGTGGAATAGGAGTTCTAGGGTGGCAGAAAGCCTGTCCTCGCATTTGGGGCTGTAGGGCCTGCATGGTCACTGGCTAGGATGAGGGTGCAATGAGTGGCTTGTGAAGGTGTGCTTCATACACTGTCAGGAGAAGGGTGAGGAACAGAATTATCTTCCCAACTCTGCAACTACTTGGCTGTGAGACAGTCACATTTCTTTCTTTTCTGCTTTTTCTTTTTGGCATCCAAATTTCTTTATCCGGATGTCAGCATTCTTATTTGTAAAGTAAAGGAGTCGGGTAGTTCTAAGATGCAATCGTCCTCGCTATGTGCGAACTACCGCACGATACCTTAGCCTCATAAGACCTAGCATCCCCAGGGAAGACAGGCCTGTCAGCCTGCTTCTGTAAATACGACAGTTAAAATCAAAACCACCAAACCCATGGAGAGATTCTGCTCTGTAACATAGGGAGTCACAGTGAGTTGGGGGTCAAGTCAACAACAGCAATAGAATCTGAAACAAAAACTTTGTACAGGTGGGAAATAAAGTGGAATGCAGATGACAGATCTTAAACTGTACTTATATAACACCCACTGTCTACTTTCTTTTGAGTAAGTGAAGATTGCATTTTAAGTATACAGCAACTGGGATTCTCCATGGCTGGCTCTCTCCTTGGGGAGGAAGCATCCTTCCACCGGACAAAATGCTTATTAAGTCTGACAACTTGTCAAGAAGTTTCAGGGACAAATGAGGTCTCTAAGACCTAATGTCTTAGGAACCTGATTCTGAATTCTGCACTCTGGTTCCGCTCAAAGACTCCCATAGTGCTTGCAATGTCGTTTGTCTTTACTTAGAGAACAAGGATAATCTAGTGAGTAGGTTGACAGGGCAGAGGAAGAAGGAGAGTGAGAAGGGAGCATCTAATCCAGCTCTTAGCTTGAAATCTATGTGCCTAATGCTCTGTTCTGTGAACAACAGCTTGCTTGGGGTTTTAGGTGCCCAGTAATTGTAGAAGTTCATGGTGTGGACAACAGTATTAATAGGCAGCAATCTGATATCTGGTGCATACTTTGTCTGTAATAAAAATAAAAGCTGTACCTTAACTGCCAAGTCTTTCTGGCAAGGAGGTGTGAGGAAGATTTTTGCTTTATTATTACAAAGTTTCCTTCATGATGTCTCTTAAGATATTCAAATGTCTCAAGATAAAATAACATGGCCAATTTTAATTGTTCAACCTTAGGGTAGAATTGATCACCCTTCATCTTTCTGTTTTATAGATAATAAGAGATTCTGAAAGATTAAGTGTCTTTTTGGAAACCTCTCCTAGGCTGACATGACGGGGCATTTCCTGGTTCTCCTTCCATATCTCTGGCCATTTGCTAGTTGTTGTTGACTCCTTTCCAGATGTCCTAAATGTGGGAGTCCTCCAAGAATCTGCCCTTGACCATACTCTCTTTGCCTCCCCCATGTATTTTCATGTCTGCAGCTCTCACTCTTATTTTGATGCCTCTCAAATATTACTCTCTTGCCCTGACTTCACTCCTAGGCGATAGCATGCTCCACTTCTGATTTATATCTGAATGGCTCTTCCATTATTTCAATGCCATTTCTCTTTCCACTGATACATTTTTCTCAACAGTACCCAGGCTATCCAGTCAAGGTTCGTATATTCACCTAAGACTCCTTTTTTCTCCTTGGTCTCCAAGATTAGATGTCTTTGGCACTTCTGAAGCTTTATTTCTTATTTCTGACCTCTTTCTCTCCTTCACCCATCAGCCATCTGATACGGACTGGCGTTCCACACTTCCACTGATGTCTAGTGTTTCCTGGTGCCAGTTCCCCAGACTGCCCATCCCAATGTCTCCAGCTTTAGCATTTATCATGGTTATTTCCCTCTTGTTATCGCATGATGCCTCCCTTTGTCCTACTGGTTCATGCATGGCAAAGCTGGTTTGTCTCCTGAGGCGCCCCACCGTTTCACGTTCATCTAAAGCAGCTGGCTTATTTCAAATCCCCTCTCTACTTCAGAGGTCCTTCCTTTTCCATCACCACCCAGCCACTTGGGATCGCCATGTCAATTTGACTATTCACATTTAGCCCTCCAGCCTTTCAGTCAATGTGGGACTGTCATTTCTAGCTTGTTTGTTTTGTTTTGTTAGTCATTTGATACCTACTCTTCTTATCAACTTAGTTACCTGATTATAAATTCTCAGGGGGAGAAAAAAACAAAACTTATAGGACTGGTCTATCCCGTCAAGCCTGCATACATAATAGACTCTCAATAGCTGCTGATCAGTTCGGAGGGCCACATAACAATGTTACATAATCTACAACATAGAAGGGAAACACCAATCTTGAAAGAGAAGCAAGAAGTACTCACATACTAAAAACTGTACAACACAATGACATTAACCTTTTGCTATGCCTTCTTCAGTTCCTATACTATGCTATACATGTAGCATGGGATAGAAAATATCCCCACTACATTTGCACTTCATACCAAGTAAGAGAGAATTCAAGTTAGACTTGATAAGACGTCATCAGATGAATATGTATACTATCAGCTCTGAGCAAGCTAGGGCCCTAGGGTACATGGGAAGCACACCCCAATAAGTCTCAAGGTGTCAAATGCCTTGTTGAATCTAGAGTTTGAGAGTTCCCAGGGACTATTTTTTTGATAATTGACCAAATAACAATTGTGAAGACGTTGCAGGACCAGGCAGTGTTTTGTCCTGTTGTATATAGGATTGGTCTAAGTCAGAACTAACTCGATAGCACCTAACACACACACACACACTGATTTTCAATTGGGACTCTGAAAGAAAGCACCTCAAAACAAAGAGAAAAGCTAGATCCAAGAATGGGGTCCATAAGGCAGTGAGTTTACATCCTAACTCAGATTTCTAAAGTTCCTCTAATGTATATTTTTCAGAGTCTCCAACAAAACTTAAATAAACTCACTGCTATGGAGTCACTTCTGACTTCTGGCAACCCCAAAGAGCATGGTAGAATTGCCTGTATGGGTTTCTGAGACTGTAACTCATTACGGGAGCAGAAAGCCTCATTTTTTACCCTTAGAGCGGCTGGTGGGCTCAAACTGCTAACCTTGTGATTAGCAGCCCAAAACGTAACCACTATGCTACCGGAGCTCCTCTTCCAAATTCTAGGATGCTAATATTCTGGCAAGAGGGCATGCTGATCTACTGCTTTCAAATACGCTCCATGCATCCACAATGGGAAGCGCTCTTTGGGGGATAACTACACAAACAAACTTAGACAAGTATCCATCAGAAGCCCAGTGCAGAAAAAAGAAAGACCTTCTCATTAGGGCAGACATTAAAACCTTCCAATTGCACGGTTCATTTAATAGACTTGGGAAGTTGGCTGTGACCTCAATGGGCTAAAAACAAAATAAGACTTCATTGTCACAGAGAAATTTCTACTCACTCCAAGAGGATTGTGGGGAGGGGAGGGATGCATGTCCTGGTGGGGAGGAAGACCTGACTTTTCCTTGGGCTCTTCCTCTAACTACCTTTATGGTCTTTGACTCAGGTTCTTTGTTTGAAAGAGGATGGGAGGGTTGGACCCAATTATATCTAACATGAATGACACATCATACATTCTCATGATTCTGGATGGATTTTTCTGCAATAATGACATTTGACCTTTCCTAAAAGGAGAATTGAAAGGAGCATCCTCAACTTCATTCCGTTTCCTAATTCCATGCTCCCAACGGATGCACTATACTTACATCACTGAGCGCCTTCTGGGCGTTGGCAACCCTCCTCAGCTCCGGGCTGTCGTTATATGGGTAAAACAAATTTTTGTCTGCATCCCAGTCTTCAGTGTACAATTTCTAAATCAGCAAAGAGCGAAAAGTCATCAGCATAAGTTTGAATTCACCAATCAATAGCATCATGATCCAAAGGCAAGGTGAGAGCAAAGATCAATGAAATTCAATAGGACCTCCACCTTTCCGTCTATTCTGGGTTTTTAATAACCTGGCCAGTGTCCCCTGCCCATCGTCATTTCCAAGAGAAATGTGGAGGCCTTTGATTTTGTTTTGTCTACTCTCTGCGCCTTCTACAGGTGCTAATGTACCAGTGTCGGGATGCAATTAGTTAAGTTTCTATCACAAAATAAACCTTTAATAAGGTAGCTAGCCAGATGGGTGAAACTGAGTTTTTGTTAAGGGAGGTGATGAAATAATTGGAGAATAGTTAACTATTGTTAATGATTGAAGAACAATATGAATATAATTAAGGTCACAAAACTATGCTCATGAAGAGTATTGAAATGCAAATATTGTGTTGCCTATAGATCCACAACAATGGAAAAGAACTATTAAAAAAAAAAAAAGATCGCCAGACAGTTAACGCTTTTTGACATGATCGACAGGCAAAAATTAGAATATTCCTTTGAGGTCTTGGCTGGCCCAACACATCTTCATTCTCCTCACACATTGCCCCTGGTAGATCAGGTTGCCTATGGGATCCTCCCCAAGGGTGCACACTCCTCTCTGCCCAAGAATTTGCCTCTCATCCCCCACGCCCTTGCCAAGCCCCACTCTAGCAGCCGCCCCTATCTCAAGGTTACTCACAGAACTATTGAGAGCCATCTTCTGGATTAGGAAGAATATATTACATGGCAGAATGGCAGGGTGGGGAGGCTAACTGTGCCTGTGGAGACCTTACCTTACTGAACATGGCTGTGTTTTTAATGGCTTGAACAAGTTCAGGGGCGTCAGGAGGAAGCAGGTACTTATCCTTGGTGTCCTCCCAGTTCTGCTTGTATAAAACCTGAACAGGAAGAACAGAGGACTTGCCTTTTAATGTCTCAGGCAAGGACAAGGAGATGTGGAGAACAAAGGCCTTTTTCACACTCACGGGGCCTCACACAAAGGCTCCTGGATGTGTTACAAGGAAAACCCTGACCGTGCCGTCCTAGTGCCCCTGCAGAAGTAGCTTTTCCTCGGGAATGCCAGGATTTAAACCGCATCACGATTTGGATCCACTCTAGGTGGCAACCTACCAGGCACTGGCCGGATTTTACTATGGGACACTGCTTTTACTTAAGTGGCATTTAAAAAAATTATTTTCCAAATTTGAAGTTTGGAGGTTTCTCATAAAAATCCAGATCCACAAGTTCTTTTTAACATGATGATGACCTTTACCGTGCTCTATTTGTTCCATAACACCCCTCATCAACCAGCATAAATTGTAATATCGACTTAATGTGAGTATATAATTTATTTGTTATTAACATTTTCTGGACTCCCGGGTTATAGGTTGAAGCATGTCCTCCCAAAGGACACATTGAAGTTCTAACACCCTCCTTCACCCGTGAGCAGGACCATATTTGGAAACAGGGTCTTTGCACATCCAATTAGATATTAAAGGAAGGTGGGCTCCTAGAAGCGGAGGGACACAAGAAAGCACTTTCCTTAGGGCCTTCAGCGAAAGCTTAGCCCTGCCAACTTTGAAGGTTCATTTCTACTCTCCAGAATTTGAGACAATGCATTTCTGTTGCTTTAAATCAGAGAGAGAGCGAGAGAGATTCTGCTGCGTCTGAGACTGCGGTCGGCAGAGCAGCTTGTGCCTGGGCTGAGGAGCAGCTGCTCCGTCAGCTGCAGGGCTCTGCAGTCGGTCAGAGCTTCTAGGGGACACTTCCATCATCTGGTGGCCTCACTGACACGGTGGGGATGAGCGTCCATACTCCCTGTGGATCTGGAGGATACTAGTGAGCGTGCTGAGACCTGTCCAACGTTCTCCTTGTCATATAAAGCAAAGCTAACGTGAATGCTACTTAGTATTGCACCCACCAATACCATGAGCCCAGACTTACCTTGCTGACTTGCTGCGACACTTTCTTGGCATGTTCGATGTCCTTTGCTTTTTCATCTACGTGACAAATAGTTTTAGCAACATCGCCATCCATCCGATACTTAACCTGCAGAAATAACGGTAAGAGTAAGTCTATGACAGGCCCGAGTACATGGGTGTGTATGTTATAGCAAGTCCTAATGCAATGACTTTATAGTCACATCATAAAACAACCCTTTAGATGGAAAACCGTAATCTTCAAAGATGGACAGAGAACCTGTGATTACAACTTACCAGGTTTCGTACTGCTACAGGACCCAAGCAATTTGGACCCTCTGTCTTTTTTTTAAAACCATTTTATTAGGGGCTCATACAACTCTCATCACAATCCATCCATCCATTGTGTCAAGCACATTTGTACAATTGTTGCCATCATCATTTTCAAAACATTTTCTTTCTACTTAAGCCCTTGGTATCAGCTTCTCCTTTTCCCCCTTCCTCTCCCATCCTCCCTCCCTCATGAACCCTGGATAATTTATAAATTATTATTATTTTGTCATGTCTTACACTGACCGATGTCTCTCTTCACCCAATTTTTTGTTGCCCATCCCCCTGGGAGGGGGTTATATGTAGATCATTGTGATCAGTTCCCCCTTTGTCCCCCACCTTTCCCCTACCCTCCTGGTATCGCTACTTTCAGTATTAGTCCTGAGGGGTCTATCGGTCTTGGATGCCCTGTGTTTCCAGCTCTTATCTGTACCAGTGCACATACTCTGGTCTAGCCAGATTTTTAAGGTAGAATTGGGGTCACGATAGTGTGGGGGAGGAATCATGAAAGAACTAAAGGAAAGTTGTATGTTTCAATGGTGCTATACTGAACTCTGACTGGATGGTTTCCTCCCCACGACCCTTCCGTACATAAGAGGATGTCCAATTGCCTACATATGGGCTTTGGGTCTCCACTCTGCACTCCCCATCTTTCACAATGATATGATTTTTTGTTGTTGTTCTGTGGACCCTCCATCTAAGTTACTTCTTAATCTAAATGGCTGGGACAAGCTTATAGAACCCACGTTGGTTCATATTCACAATAACATAGCTAATGGCCAAGGCTTTCTCTAACTTTCTGGACTAGCTCATAGCCAGTGATTGACTAGCTCAATCCCCAGTGAAAGATATATTTTTGAAATGCACCTCTCCTTAATTTTATCATTGCAACCCACCTCACTGAGTTGATCTTGAACTTTCTTGATTCTGCGAAGTTCTGGGGTATCAGTTGTGCTGGCATATGGCTGTCCTTTTGCTTTCTCAAAGTTCTTCTTATATTTATTCTGAAATGAATACCAGGTATTAGCATAAAACATGACATGACAGCAGCAGAAATTTCAGGTAACGTACCCATCCGCATTTAATTAAAAACAATTCTTCCAAGTTCTAACAATTACCAGTGTAACAGCTTTCTCTTTGTCCTTTATTCTGACTCGCTGCAAAATCTAAAATAGATTTGTTAATTGCTCTTCCTGAACACAAATGGGTCTCAGAGACAGTAGAAATTTATTACAGACTATTGTCTTAGAAATGCCCTGAAATTATTCTCTCAGTGGTTCTTCTTTCTCTGCCTGAATGCAAACAGAAAAGGGCCCAAGTCTCATTTTAGAAAATGAATATGAAAACTAAGTCAAGCCTGAGAGGATTTGACCGCTAGTACAAAACAAGAACATTCTATGCAAGATTCAAAGCTGACCTTAGAGCTGAGAAACAGCTTGAATTACTGAAAAAGTCTGAATGATGGAGTATTTTGAAAAGCAGAAGTGCGATTTTATTTTCGCTAAATATACCAGGAGCTCTTGCTTTAATAATAATAAGTATAATTTATCATTATTAATGTTCCAACTGTACTCTTGAGTGGAGTAGTCAACAATACAAATTACACTATTGATTTAGTTACTAACCACTTTACAAAATCTTATAGAACATAGCCAGCATTCTGTTTAAAATATCAGAAATTATAGGTTTCCGGTGTCTGAACTAATGAGCTTCCATGCAGTAAATCAACACTCAGGAAATTCTATCTTTGCTGAATACTGTTGTGATGAAGAAGGCAAGACATCTCATTCATTAGTAGAAACCTAATTAGTTGAAGCTTAAACTTGAACAATAAATTTACCAAGTCATCTCCAAAAGTTAATCCCTAACCATATGTGAATATTTATTGGCCAAACACCACAAGATGTTTTCAATATAAACATTAGGTGACTTGGTGAGACCTTAGCTCTCAATGGGCAAATAGATGACCCATAGCTACCAACAGGACAGGGAGAACTGGCCCTGTGAGCTTCTGAGACCGTCGCTGTTGACCGGAGTAGAAAGCCCCAGCTTCCTCCCAGGAGTGGCTGGTAGTCTGGAACTGCTGACCGTCCAGATCGCAGCCAAATCATAGCCACTAGGACCCCTTCCACAGAGTACTAGCTGCCTTCCATTCTAGTCCGACTCATGGAAACCCCGTGTGTTAGGGAGTAAAGTGTGCTCTGCGGGGTTTTACTGCTGCGGAAACAGATGGCCAGGCTTTTCTTCTGAGGTGTCTCTGGGTGGGTTCAAACTGCCAACTTTTCAGTTAGTAGCCAGAGCTGAACTGTTTGTACCACGTAGGGACTCCTATTAGACAAGTACATCCATTGAAACAGGATCTAGATCTGCAACCAGTCAGTGTTACTTCGAGAATTACACAGCGAGGATAAGAACAGTGATGTTCAACTTGGACTTCATGTTAGAATTCCCTGGGGAACATGCAAACATTTTGATGCTCAGGGCCCCAGCGCACCTCAGACCAGTTAAACCAGAATGACCTGGGTGTCGTTAGTTTTTAAATTCCCCAGGGTATTCCACTATGCAGCATGGCTAAAAGGCACCATTATCAGACATGGCCACACCTTCTGATCTAAAATTTCAAATAAGCCCTTTGATGACACTGCATTTCTATTATACCATACATCTCAGAAAGTATTTTAAAAATAGACTACATAGTATTCCCCTTGACATACTATTAGCTAATCTATTTAAGAGGTTCTTCTTCTCAGCCATAGTTTAAAGTATGCTTTTTCGTTTCCATCAACTATGTATATTTGTGACTTCCTTATCCTGGGTTGACTAACTAATAATGATGAAAATTGGTTTATAGTTGGCCTTATGCTTATTTCACACGTACAGTTTGTTTCAATAAGAGGCCTTCCTCAAGGTTGCAATTGTGGGAAAAGCACTATATGAAAAGAAAGTTCAAGAATCCCAAGAAGAGAATGTACAGTTTTGCAAGACATCCTTTTGTCTCATACAAAGTTGAGAACAAAACCCAGCCCGCACGGAGAGGAGTTGGTGGAGCTCCCTGCTTCCTCAGCAACTAAACCAGGCCAGAGGAGGCTGTCTGACACTTACTGTGCTGAAAAGATCCTGCATTTTCTGACTGTGTGCGATGTAGGGCGTCATGAACTTTGAAGGGTCCGCTTTCTTCCGGATAACCCTCTTCCTCTCCACGGGCTTGGCGGGCACTGGCTGTGCCGGCGCTGGTTTGGAAACTTCGGGTTCCTCATAGTCAGAATGTATTGTCCTTGTTGTCGTGGTTTCGTAGATCTTTGTTATTGCCTGGAAATTTTACATGCAGTTCAACATTGTCAGGGAAGTGAAGACTGGTAGCAGAGTTAGCATATATTATTCTGACTTCAGGCAGGCTCACATTTCTGGACTTAACTGAGCTTAACGTAAACAGGCCAAAGCAAGAATCCATACAAAAACTCATCATGGTGCATAAGTCTGAAGCATTCGTTATTAGAGACGCCATGGAATAAACAGGTTAACCAAAACCACGCCAAACTCACTGTCATTGAGTCGGACTCAGACTCATGGGACCCGATAGGACAGGGCAGCACTGCTCCTGTGGGTTTCTGAGACTGTGACTCTTATTTGCTGTTTTTCCAATTCAACAACTTCTACACAGCCAAGACAGTGCCATTGTTGATAGTCTTCATGTTGTACAGCCATTATTGATATCCTTTTCCAAGTTAGTCTATCATCATTAAGATAAGCTCAATGCTCCCTAAGCAACAACTCTTTCTCCTTCACCCATGGGAACCATTGGTCAAGTCTGGGTTTTTTCCTTGCTCTTTCTTTCTTTCTTTTAGCAGTAATGTTCTTGATATAATATTCATGTGGATTTAACATCGATGGTTAAATCACTTTTTAAGAGTTGTATATACATCATCACAATGACTTCTAGACTCCCTCCTCCCACCCAACCCCCAGACTACCTCTTTATGGGAGTAGAAAGCCTCATCGTTCTCCCTCAGAGCTGCTGGTCATTTTGAACGGCTGACCTTGGGGTTAGCAGCTCAATTCATAGCCACTATACCATAATTTTCAAGATTAGCCTAAAATTCAGTTTTCAGACATATGCGCAAACACACAAAAAACAAACAAAAATAGCTGCCATAGAATGGATTCCGACTCACGCCAACCTATAAAGCTGATTAGAACTGCCCTGGTGGGTTTCTGGTACAGTAACTCTGTAGAGGGGTAGAAAGCCTCTCCCTTAGAGTGGCTGGTGGATTTGAACTGCTGACCTTGTGGTTTTCAGCCCATTGTGTAACCCACTAGGACTCCTTCAAACCCATCAAAGTAGGATAAAATCAGCAATAGCTTAGTCTTAAATATTTTTTTAATCCTAAATTGTCTGCATACAACAAAAAGCAAACTTATTTTTTATTAATAAGAGAGGGTTAACAATCAAATAGAGCTCAAATTCTTGACTTTAAACTTTTAAATGAGTATTAAAAAAAAGTTGGGTTCCTTGTTCTCTAGGCATATAGACTTTCTCCTCTGTAGGATGAGACAAATTATAAAGAACTTTTTTTAAGTGAATCACATCAATATTACAAGTGATTACCATTCTCTTGGCTTAGTCACTTAATTAATGTGAACTGGAGTGCCATTTACACTAATAAATGCTTCGTTGGATGAGAATAATGACAGAAACATAATGGAGCAATTATCTTCACAACAGTTCTTTGTAGTAGGTGGGAAATTACTGTGTCTTACAATAGGTGATAGTGGAAGAAACTAAGCTTCAAATTTGGGTCTAGTCCAAGATTAAAAGTACTGTACATAAAGAAAAGAAGATAAGCAGCCAAGTCTTCAATCTGTCTTACACATACATTTTCTACACAGCTAATACGATCTGCGTCAAAATAAGAGTTCTATCCTCTACTGTGGGAAGAGAAACAAGTACTAAGGAAACTATCTATCTATGAAATTCTCTGCGGCGTTGCCAGTAGGCTGTCAATTCACATCCTCTGCAGATGTTAGCGTTCATGCTGCCACAGGCTGTCCTCAGGGTTCAACTTCAGAGTTCACAATTCATACCACTGACTGTGGTGCTCAGAGAGGAAAAGGAAGAACATGAAGTAGAGTACCAGTTGGGCTGCTCATTGCCAGGTCGGCAGTTCAAAACCACCAGGCTCTCCTCAGGAGAAAGATGGGGCCTTGTTCTGGTGCAGAGTGACACTCTCAGAAGCCCACAGGGCAGTTCTATCCTGCCTCCTAGGGCCGCAGGGAATGGACTCTGGCAGGGAGTTTAGTTTGGTTCTGGAGATCACGAGAGAGGGATTGCACCTTAGAACAATAATTCCTTGTTGTGTTGATGGTGCCCACACAACACGAGTCTACACTTGAACCTGCCGTTTCTTAAAGAGATCGCAGGTCAAAGCGATCCCTTTTGCTGCACGCAGTCAGAGAGTGATGACAAAGACTGCTTAAGGTCATGCTCAAAATACCAGGAGAGCAAGCGGAGACACCATCCCTGGTCATCTTGGAAATGCTGTCTAGGTGGAATAGCTTGTCAACTAGGTAACATGTATTCTTGTACCATGACCTGCTGGACACGCATAAATGCATCAGCCCTCCAACCCAAAGCCAGTTGCCAACCCAGACTCCTGGGAGCCCCCTGTGTGTCAGAGAAGAACTGTTCTCAACAGTTGGTTTTTCACAAGGAGCTCGCCAGGGCTTTCTTCCCAGTGCCTCTGGGTGGACTCAAACCTGCAACCTTTCCATTAGCAGCAGAGCATTAGCCATTAGTGCCACTCAGAGACACCAATCCCCTCAGGTACTCTTCTAGCGGTCTTGGGGACGCAGGAGTTCAGAAAGGCGAGGGCTCCTTTTGCTGAATGGCATGTGGTTAGTGCAAAAGGGAATTGGCCCTTACCTCCCCCGGCACCTCTTCATAGACGGTCTCTTCGGTGTAGTACTGTAAAGAGAGCACAAAGGGGTCATCGTGAGAACCAAGCGGAGAGCCCCTCTCCGCAGCTTCATCACTAGGGTTACTTGGCTGGCTTAGTCGTTTGGAATAGCTGTGGGAAGAAGGTAGACCAGGGTGCTTGGTGCACCCCTCCCCTTCCATTTTTGTTTCTCCCCCTCGGATGAAATTTCAGGGACGCCAAAGTGAATGTCGCCTGATGGGACCAGGAGTTACAGAGGAAAGAGAAAGGCATTGGCGGCTGGTGATTAATTAAGGGAAGCTATTGATATGGAACATGGAACCTGTCTTCTTGTGACACCGGAGATGGAATTTGCTGTGTGTTGACCAAGCATTGAGGAATGGTGACACAACTCACTGTTCACTCACAGGAAACCACACCGAAATCTCCGGATGAAATAAAAAAATCGACTGGGCATCACATTTGCAAAATTCAGATCCCCAAACCTCTATACATCTCAATTCTCGTACACCTACTACTGAGGACTACGTAGCAAGAGTCCCTCTCGGGGTGAAGGGCGAGGCCTGTCCAGTGGCACCACGGAGCTGAGCAACCTGCTGAGACGAAACTCACAAATTCCCAGAAGAGAAGGCGACTGCGAGCGGGCACCCAGGGCCCGCGAGTCGGGCTGCAATTTGCCCTCGCTGGCTCGGGTGCCTGCAGCCTCGATCTGAAAACGAGCCGACTATGGTTCTAGCCCTGCCATCACCAGCAATAAATAGGCGCTGATCAGTCCTGGCTGACATTTTGTTTCAGACGTGTCCGGGGAGTGGAATCCTGCCCGCAGCCTCACACGGCATCCCTTCTGGAAAGACTTGTTTGGGTTTATGGCACACAAGAAAAGGGGGTGGGGGAGTGGGAATGAGACACTTTGCTCGCTCAATAAAATACAGGATAGTTCATCTTCCCTATCTCACTAGCTATATAGGTGCACTGACACGCACCAATGTCCTCAGAAGCTGCCTTCCCTCTGCCCTGGGGTGGCTAATTCCATAGGTCCCCTGCTCTGACCAGACTTGGTGAAATTCTTATAAAGCAGCCTCTCCTGCTCTCTACTCCTCTATTACACACTTTTAAAATTCGAAATCTAATTTCGTCTGTCTGTCCTTTCCCCTAACCACAGAAATTACAGGCTCTACGACTAAATAGAATTTCAAGGAGCCATTTCACTGGCCACACGAAACACCAGTGGCCTGAGAAGAAATCTTAAACTAGCCTGAATGATTCACAACCTGTTTGGATTTTCTTAACATTCAAGTGAAAGCAGTTCTTTGGTAGCCATCCAATTTGACTTTTGCTGGGCGAGCTACATTACCACCGGTCAATGTCGCTTAGAAATGAGCTGCTGAGAAAGACATGGCCCGAATGGTGGGCATTATAACTGGCAAGCCAACTATCACTGTGGTTGTTGTGACAGCAGTGCCATTCATTAGACAGGACCTTCTTTCCTTCTTCTCCACGTTTGTTTAGGACTGAGTCGAGAACGGCACCACGATCCCTTGGAGACAGATTAAAAACCTCGCTCTGTGCTGTCCTTTTTAATTTGTCTCTGACTCTTTTCTAGAATCTGCCACCATCCTGTTCTTCTGGCATCCTTTTTCTGAGGTCAACGAGAGCTCCGTTCAACACTCCCCGGCAGGCCGGCTCTTAGTTTAGCCCCGGCTGGCCAGCCCCACAGCAGTCACAGGAACAAAATGGGGAGGATGGAATTCCTAAAAATAGCCCCCTCCGTCTTTGTCATCTAGTTAAATCCATCAACTCTAGCATAAGCATACCTCCCAGGGCAGATGAACATACTTGTGTTAACACAGACAGAAGAGACTTAGAGTTGGATGCTAAGAAATGTTCCCGGAGTCATCCTCCTGAGGAAAACAATTTAATGTTTTTTTTACAATGAAAACACTGTAATTGTTTTAGTGCTGTTTGGTGATGACTGTTCTGACCTAAGGGACATGGTGATGATTTTGAGAAGTGCAGACGAGGCCACTGGCATTTAAGCCGCAGAGGCTGGATTTTATAATGTCTAGAAGTCATTCTATTTTTTTTAAAGTCATCCTTCAGTAAGTGAGAAAAGGGATTTTACTTTGGGAGTAAAATAACATCTTCTTGATGTAAATATAGGCTAGTCACTAAAATAATTTTCCAGAGACACATTTTGGCACTTTCCTCTAGCATTTGGTTCTGGAAAGCTCTTTGCGTTAACTCCCAGTCTACTGACATCCCAGGATTTTTAAAACTGCTTCCAAAGCCATCAAGCATTTGGAAATGGCCATATGTGTAGAGGTTCATCATTAATTGATCATTACGAATCATTTTCAAATGTACAGCAACGCACTTAGGTGGAGTATAGTCCCTCCCACGCCTTTATCTTTTATTTCTAGAAACCGGGAGCTGCAGGGAAGGGCTGATGAAGAAAAACCATAGCACTAGCAAATAAAATGATATGAAATAAATATAAAAGGATGAACAACTTTGTGATTTGGCTATCAATAATCTAGAGGATATTTTTCAAGCTGTCCCTTGTGTCTTTTGTTCCATTTTTATTTTTTGAGTTTTTTAATTTAAAAGCTGGACTTGTGCCTTCATGTAAATGTAATGGAGTTGGCGACTAACTGTGATTTCCAACTGGTGTTTGTAAGATGCTTGAGTTACATCTGTGTGTGCCTGTGTTAAATATATGAAGTCTCCTATATAGATATATCTATATTTATATCAACTGGTGAAGCAAAAAGTAAAAAGTAGTCTGGCTTCCTCTACTATTATGTAGACAGTACAAAATAGAGTTCAGTTATCAGAACTTACTCTTTCTTTTTGATCAGTGGGGGTTAGGGAGGTGGTGAAGAAGGTAGTGTTTGAAGATACATTAAAATCTACCTTTACCTCACACTGTTTTTTTTTAGTTTGAAGATATGCAGAAGCGGGAAATGGTGATATTTCCTTTCAAATCTGAAACCCACATAATTATAGTAAAAGTAAACATAAAACATGCCTTTATGTCTTTCTTGTGCTTTAATGTGAATTTATACTAGACGTTGTCTTTTTCAAATGATTAATGCGCCTACATGGCTTTGAATGGCTACATAAAATACTTCGCTGTCAGTGAATTTCATTTCTTTTTGGCATCTTACCTCTACCACCTCCTCATATTCTTCGTCATCTGCCATTTTCCCAGAGTCGTAGCGGCACCTACAAACTTTCCATATTTCACATAAATGGAAACATATTAGAATTTATCTCTAGGACTTAGGGTGTCTTAAAACATTAAAATAGAAGTTAAAATAACCTATTTTAAATAGTCATATCTTTTCTCAGGAAGGTCAGAGAAGACATTTAAAATAGAGCTCTACAAAAAATTGGAGCTTCAAATTTCTTTCTTCTAATTCCCTCATTAAACTCTGGGGTATGCTATGTCAAGCTACATGATATATTTTGTTAAAGTTTAAAATGGATCTTGAAGTAAAGGAGGTTACAGGGCTTAGAATTAAATGAATACTTGGAAAAAATAAAATTCCCAAGCAAAAATTTTAATGGAAGATAGGCCAGCCTCATATTCAGGTAAAAGTAGAAAAAATTTCCCCATAATACCAAAACTATAAGGGCTGATTGAGGGCTCCGTATTGCTCTAATATATTCTATGCACTACATCTGCAGCTTCAAATTAGAACACATAAAAATAATTTAAAAGGAAATTGAGAACCTCAAGGTAATAGGACTATTTTCTTCTTGAACACCATTGACTTGTGTAACTTTGTTTCTTTTGCTTCTGTAGCTCTTGTGCAAACCTGGAAAATATCGAAATTTTAATACGTTGTTGGCCTAAGTACATATAAGATGATCAGTCTTTGGCCTAAACGTCTAAGTCAGGGCTCTCCGGGCCTCGGAGCTTGACATCAGAGAGCAGAATTCTCTTCCTACGAGTGGGTGATGGCTTGGAGCAGCTGTCTTTTCACCCAAAGCTATTTGCCATGTAAACCAAGACAGCACCGTGACTGGTTTTGTTAAGCCAGCGAAACTGCCGCTCCTGCTGAGCCAACTGAAGCCCAGTCGCTCAGGATAAATATAGGAACACAGAACAGAGCCTTCTGTACTAATATATTTAGGGGGAAATAAGGCAAAAAACCAAAACAAAAAAACCCCCACAAAACCCTGAAGAACAATGAGAGTAAACCAGAGTACCACCTTAGACAAGCAAATACATGGATTCGTATCCTTAGAAGAGTCATGGACTCCCAGACTTGTCTAGTCACATTTTCTTCCCTCATTTTCCTACTTAAGACCCCAAACTTTGAAATACACGTCAAGGAACGTTGAGTAGCCTCTCCTAAAAGAAGAGGACAAAAAAGCCACGAGCTGGCCTTACCTGCGATCTATCAAATCAATTCTCTCAGCAGCAAAGTCTCTCCCAACTCTCCCCTCCTGAGAACCCCAGGCAAGAGTCGCAAGGCCCCTGGGCTTGGAATTGTCATGTGGCAGCAGCAACCAATCGGGTCGCGAGTTGCTCAAATTTCAGAAGCTAAATATACTGAGTGATCTTCAGAAACCACCTGTTCATCTATTCCACTAAAGGATAAAGGGTAACAAATCGCTTGCTTAGAACTATTGAAATGGAATGGAATTTTACCTAACGTCTAGCATTGGGGCTTCAAACTTAGGTTTGGTTTATTTTCGGCAGCCCTGTTCAATACCAATCCATGTAAAAGAATTTAAAGAGCCCGAGTGGCCTGTGGATTACAGGTTTGGCTGCTAACCACAAGGTCAGCAGTTTGAACCCATCAGCAGTTCAATGCAGGGAAAAGGAGGCTTCCTAGTCTGGTAAAGATTTAGTACCACAGGGGCAGGATTAACTCTGTCCATAGTCCTACTGGATGGCAGTAAGTCAAGGAAGTTAATAAAGTATGGTTCTGAGGAGCTCTGGTCCTTTTATAATTATTTTCTTTATCATTTATCCAATTTTCATGAAGAAAACTGTGCACGCCCTCCTGCAAGGTAAGCTACAGGTAAATTACCCATGTTGATGTGAAACACAGGAATAAGATTAAAAAAATAGGAAGTTGGCAAAAGCAGTTTAAAAGGGGGATGAAATGAAGTTACATACGAAAATGCTTCATATTGACACTAGATAAAATATTCATAGGGTCTAATTACCCAAAATAAGCCTAATTATTTTCTGTTACAAAGCCAGTGGGGTATGCCAAAATCAGATTCTTTGTCTTCTCCCTACGGAGGTAAGGGAAGCTATTAGGAAACTTAGTGACTGGTTTTCTATTAGCACAGGTAATTTCTTTTCTTTAAAAAAAAAAATTTTATTGGGGGCTCTTACAGCTCTTACCACAATCCATCCGTCCATCCATTGTTTCAAGCATTTTGTACATATGCTGCCATCATTTGCAAAATATTTTCTTTCGACTTGAGCCCTTGGTATCAGCTCCTCATTTTGTTCTTTCCTCCCCTACCCTCCTCCCTCATGAACCCTTGATAAATTATAAATTATTATTATTTTCATATCCACTTTACCCACTTTTCTGTCGTTTGTCCCCCTGGAGGCAGGGTTATATGTAGATCCTTGTGATCGGGTCCCACTTTCTCCTTTCACCATCCCTCCACCCTCCTGGTATCACTCCTCTCATTATGAGTCCTGAGGGGTTTATTTGTCCTGGATTCCCTGTGTTTTAAGCTCTTGTCTGTACCAGTGTACATGCTTGGCTCTAGCTGGAATTGTAAGGTAGAATTGTGGTTATGACAGTGGGAGTGGGGTGGGGGTGGTGGAGGAAGCATTAAAGAACTAGAGGAAAATTGTATGTTTTATCAGTGCTATACTGCACCCTGATTGACTCATCTCTTCCTTGAGATCCTTCTGTGAGGGGATGTCCAATGGTCTACAGATGGGCTTTGGGTCTCCACTCTGCCCTCCCCCTCATTCACAACAATATAATTTTTGGTTCTGGGTCTTTGATGCCTGATACCTGATCCCATTAACACCTCATGATCACACAGGCTGGTGTGCTTCTTCAGTGTGGGCTTTGTTGCTTAGCTAGATGGCCACTTGTTTATCTTCAAGCTTTTAAGACCCCAGAAGCTATATCTTTTGATACCTGGGCACCATCAGTTTTCTTCACCACATTTTCTTATGCACCCATTTTGTATTCAGCGATCGTGTCGGGAAGGTGAGCATCACAGAATGGAGGGTTATTAGAACAGTGTTCTTGCACTAAGAGAGTACTTGAGTAGAGGCCCAATGTCCCTCTGCTGCCTTAATATTTAAGATATAAGTATATATGCACATAGATCGATTTACCTATCATATATAAATATATTTACATATGTACATGCCTGTATTTAGACCTCTATAAATGTCCTTTGCCTCTAAGTTCTTTCCTCTATTTCCTTTTACTTTCCTCTTGTCCCACTATCATGTTCAGCTTTCATTGTGGCTTCAGTAATTCTTCTCGGCTACATTGCCCTTGATCAAGCACCATCAGGCATCCTACACCTTCCTCACTATTGATTTTAGATCACTTGTTGTTCTCTTGTCCCTGGGTTTATTGGCACCACCCCCTTTTCCCCTGCCTCCCCCTCTCCCGTGTCCCCGTGAAACATTGATCCTGTTGTTTTCTCCTGTAGATTGTTTATCCCGCCTATCTTATCTAGATAGACTTGTAGAGACAATAATAAGCACAAAAACAAGACAAAGAAAAACAAAACGACAAAAGAAAACAAAGAACAAAACAACAAACAACGACAACAAAAAGAAAAGCCTATAAATAGTTCCAGGTCTGTTGACCTTTAGGAGTGTTTTCCTGTCAGGTCTGATCACGCTCTGGCTCCAATGTTTATTTTTGGTTTCCCCAGAGACTTCTTTGCTTTGCTCCCCTTGCTGCTCTGTTGCACGCTTTTAGCACTTTGTCCGGGTGTGGTGGGGTCAGATTGGGCACAATTCCCACCTTGTGCCACCAGTGCTGTCTCCTGTAGCGCTATGGGTCAATGAGGCCTGTCATGTCTCGTGGTGGGGTCGGCCCTACGGTCCTCTCTAGCACAGATCATTTCTAATTCCTAGAATCGACGTGTGAATTCAGGCACAAAATGGCTCAAGTAAGTTCTGACGTAGAAAAGGAAACGCTGCCTGGTCCTGCGCCATTCTCATACTCATTGTTCTGCCGGAGCCCGTGGTTGCTGTCACTGTGTCCATGTATTGTGTCCAGGATCTTCTTTTTTCTGACTCCACTTCACTAAGCCTGGTGTGCTTTTCTAAGGACTGGTTCCTCCTGATAACACATCCAAATTACTTGAGATGAAATCTCACCTTTCCCCTAGCTAAGGAGCATTCTGGCTGTACTTCTCCCAAGACAGATTTAGTCATTCTCCTGGCAGTCCATGGTATGTTCAATCTTATTCACCCACACTCTAATTCTAATTCTGATGTGGTATTCTTTGTTCAGTGTTCAACCTTCCCCAGCAAAAAGGGCTATTTGAAATACCATGGCTTGGGTCAGGCACATCCGATTCCTCAATATGACATCTTAGTATTTTAAGACTTTAAATCACTGGAGAACAGTAAATTAACGAGAGACAATCATACCATATTAGGCCAGTCCGTGTGTAAGTCATTCATTTTGTAAAAAGTGTCTAATAATTTTCTACCTCAACACAATTTTTACTCACTTACTCCATCCCCATTGATTCATAGTTGCTTCTTTACTAAGGCAAAAAACCCTGTGACCCATCCTCTATCACGATAGAGATTTGAGGCTAAACATATGGAGAATTGTAATTTTTTTATAATTAGATGTTAGAAAGTAATCTTGCATTGTCAACACCTGGGCTCCTCACACTTTCATGATTTATGTGGTTGTAAATAAAATTTCGCATCACTGTATCATCTTAATTATACTTGCACATCTTGCATGTTCTCACAGTACTTATAACTCAAGAGATGCTTGGGTAAGATGAGCTCACTCTTTTGGTCAAGGTAAAAAAGAAGAATTCTGACTTGTTAGTCATTGTGTATTTTTAAGAATATTGTTAAGTTGACAAATAATAGATGACTATTTTTGAAACCATGTGGTACAAAATCAGTGCTAAGCTTCAGATATTTTCAATGACATTGACAAAATATTTATACTCAAAAATACGTAGTGGACATCTGCTATGCCCTCGCGTGCCAACA